CCCAGGTCTTCACCAAGGTGCTGGCTCCTTTTTTGGTGCTACTTCAGCCTTTGGAGATCCCCAAAGCGGTGTGTACTTGGACAACCTTCTCCTCAGAGAGCAGTCAGCGCAATCCTCATCATCCAATACAAACACCACAGAGCTTTGTCCTGCTGAACCCTCTCATTGCTTAGAGTATATGGGTTGAGTCCTGGTTCTGGTTATGCATCTGAAAGCAATGGTCCTGGTTCCAGTTATGGATCTGAAAGCGATGGTCCTAGTTCCAGTTATGGTTGATGGATCTGAAAGCGATGGTTCTGGATGATGGATCTGAAAGTGATGGTTCTAGTTATGGATCTGAAAGTGATGGTTCTGGTTCCAGTTATGGATCTGAAAGCGATGGTCCTGGTTCCAGCTATGGTAAATGGATCTGAAAGTGATGGTACTGGTTCCAGTTATGGTTAATGGATCTGAAAGTGATGGTCCTGGTTCTAGTTATGGATGATGGATCTGAAAGTGATGGTCCTGGTTCCAGTTATGATTGATGGATCTGAAAGTGATGGTTCTGGTTCTAGTTATGGATATCCTGGATCTGAAAGTGATGGTTCTAGTTATGGTTGATGGATCTGAAAGTGATGGTCCTGGTTCCAATTATGGATGATGGATCTGAAAGCGATGGTCCTGGTTCCAGTTATGGATCTGAAAGTGATGGTCCTGGTTCTAATTATGGATGATGGATTTGAAAGCTATGGTCCTGGTTCCAGTTATGGATCTGAAAGTGATGGTCCTGGTTCTAGTTATGGTTGATGGATCTGAAAGCAATGGTTCTGGTTCTAGTTATGGATGATGGATCTGAAAGTGATGGTCCTGGTTCCAGTTATGGATGATGGATCTGAAAGCGATGGTCCTGGTTCCAGTTATGGATGATGGATCTGAAAGCGATGGTTCTGGTTCCAGTTATGGATGATGGATCTGAAAGCGATGGTCCTAGTTCCAGTTATGGTTCTAGTTATGGATGATGGATCTGAAAGCGATGGTCCTAGTTCCAGTTATGGTTCTAGTTATGGATGATGGATCTGAAAGCGATGGTTCTGGTTCCAGTTATGGATCTGAAAGTGATGGTTCTGGTTCTAGTTATGGTTGATGGATCTAAAAGTGATGGTTCTGGTTCTAGTTATGGTTGATGGATCTGAAAGCAATGGTTCTAGTTATGGATGATGGATATGAAAGTGATGGTCCTGGTTCCAGTTATGGATGATGGATCTGAAAGCGATGGTTCTAGTTATGGTTGATGGATCTGAAAGCGATGGTCCTGGTTCCAGTTATGGTTCTAGTTATGGATGATGGATCTGAAAGCGATGGTCCTGGTTCCAGTTATGGATGATGGATCTGAAAGCGATGGTTCTGGTTCCAGTTATGGATGATGGATCTGAAAGCGATGGTTCTGGTTCCAGTTATGGTTGATGGATCTGAAAGCGATGGTTCTGGTTTGTTATGGATGATGGATCTGAAAGCGATGGTTCTGGTTTCAGTTATGGATGATGGATCTGAAAGCGATGGTTCTGGTTCCAGTTATGGATCTGAAAGTGACCCAATTATCAGAACTCCTCCATATCATACTATAGGACCGCCATGTTTAGTATCAGGCGGCTCGTCTTTGTGCAAGCACTCTGCACCGGAAGGCTCTCTGATCACATGATGCACGGGTTCTCTGATCACATGATGCACGGGTTCTCTGATCACATGATGTCACGTGTTCACTGACCTCAGGAGAAGAACTGAATCAACGTTCTCCTTCATGAGGACAACAAATATTCTACTTTTGTGGCTGTACCAGGACACCCGGGCCCTGTCCACCCTGCACATCCCAATGGTGAAGTGGGGGGTCACCTCAGGTAGGGGGATGGGTGGTATTTGGTGAAGTGGGGGACTTCTGATGTAA